GCATTTTTCATGAATACAAGCAGTTGCCACAGGGGAGACCTAATGCCAGTTAACTAAGCTTCTGGTCGTTGTGGAATTCTGGTTTACACTGCTCTAGCTGGTTCTCTCTGAGCCACTAAGTGTCTTACACTTGGCTTCAGACACAGTGATTAAGAAGGAATGACTGCGAGGTGTCTTCACGCCTACGCGGTTCTTCGTTAGCAGTTAAGCTCTGACCCTGATCCTGATTTCTGAATAATGGGGGAAAAGTGGAGATGAACGTTACAACCATTTATGAGGTTGCTGTTGATGGCTAATGGACCGGGACCTGAATGTCTAATCCACGTTCTAGTCCTCACTGTAGAAGGAAGTGTCCTAGGAAGGAAAGGGGGAGAGGGGATGTGAAAGAATTCTATAACAATCTACGAAAGCTGCTAGTTTGATAGGAGTAGCAGATGTAAAAGCTTTTTCTCCCGTTTTCTCTTTTTTTCTCCTTAGAGCAAATTATTATGCTTTGATATTGTACCTGATTGGTATGGATTTTAATGCTTATTTATTTGAGGGGGGGGGCAGAAAGGGGGAGAGAGAGAGAGAGAGAGAGAGAGAGGGAGGGAGGGAGAGAGAAAATCCCAGTCAGGCTCCACACTGTCAGTACAGAGCCCAACCTGGGGCTCAAACTCACAAATGGTGAGATTGTGACCTGACCTGAAATCAAGAGTCAGATGCTAACTGACTGACCCACCCAGGTGCCTAGTAATTGGTATGGATCTTGTTTTATTTATTTTTTAATGTTTTTTTGTTTGTTTTTGGGGGGAGGGGCAGAGAGAGAGAGCAGAGGATCTGAAGCAGGCTCTGAGAGCAGGGAGCCTGATGTGGGGCTTGAACTCATGAACCGTGAGATCGTGACCTGAGCCAAAGTTGGGTACTTAACTGCCTGAGCCACCCAGGTGCCCCTTAGTATGGATTTTAGAATTTAAACTATGCCTGCCATCCTTGCAAGGTGTCCGAGGCAAATGGCATAGGCCACATAGTCCAACCAAACAGGACCATAAGAAGTCCAAAGAGAAATTAGTTTGGGTTCTTGGGATCCCTTCACTTTCGTTCTGTTAACTTCCATAGGTGAAAGAGACGAATATTTTAAAACTTGCTATATGAAACGAAGGATTAAGGATTTTATAGATGCTTTAAAAATCTCTGGGGCACGTAAAACCACGTGTGGAGGGTTGGCGGTATAGTGAAGGTGAATTGGATGAAGGAAATTTGTCTTTCTGGAAATGCTGATCAGAGTCTGATTCGGCAAGAAGGTTAAAATGCATGGTAAAACAGTGTGCTTTGATTTGAGCCCCTAATAGCCAGTCAGTAAATACTTGTCAAATTGCATAGCCATTAGGAGGGATTAAATTATCAGATTTTAACTTGTTATATCAGTTTTATAGAATTTCTATATATAGCCCACTCAAACGATCTTTATATTTGCAACTTATATAGCCACACTAAAGAGTCTTTAAAGTGTGAAGGAAAGGAAATGAATTTTCTGAACAATCAAAGGAATTAGAATTTAATATGTATGTAGCGCCAAGCTAATCTCTTAAAGTTTAAATTAACATAACACACAGCGCATGTGCTTCACACACACACACACACACACACACACACACACACACACACACACACCCTTTCTAGACAGGATTTGAGTCATGGGAAACAAAGTAAGGTCCATGATGGTGTTAGACAGAGGGCATGCCGGTTTGAAATCGGTTCTCCTCTTAATTAGATCATTTCTCTTATACTCCAAAGCTATGTTATACAGAGCTACACCAACCCATAGATTTTTTATCTGAATGACGAACTCTAAGACTTTTATTTTTGTCCATAAAATGTTTAGTGTCTGAGCATTTCATTGACCTGGAGCACTTTGAAGCCTGAACAACGAACTCTGACATTTTATAGATGTTTTAAATTAAAATACCTTTGAAATGCCACTCTGCCCCTACCCTTAAAACCTGTGGATGCCATTCACTAGAAATGCGAGTATTCAGAGTTACTTATTAAGTGAGTCATCAAAGCACAAGTCAAATAATTTTCAACATCCTACTTCTATGCTAAATGACGTGTGCCAATTTTATGAGCACTGTAATAAAAATCCAATATTAAGGAAGGGCCTGTGGTTACCTTTGGAATCTTCTCTTTTGGATCGTGAAATATTAATAGCACTGGATTGACAGAAGGCTTGCATTTTGATCTCAACGACCAGGCTTTGTTTTTCCAGTATGTGGGAGCTATGTGTGCAACTCATTGGACATGTACTAAGGTCTCTTCTTACCGCAAGACTCCCCAGCTTTGAATTCTAGAAAAGTGCTACCTGCATCTGCACACTTAGTAGAGACTTCCACACAGGAACATTTGTCCCCCCGAAAACATCATAAATCATACCCAAGAATGCAAGAAAAAAAATTTTAAAAACCCAATTCATTGGAAAGACATTTTCCTCTAATTAAAACGCTTAACCCACATGCTTCATATTAACACAGCCCTGAGCTGGTGTTGATCCCTATTGAGAGGTGAGTGGTTCTCACATGTTAGGGGAAGCAGGGTTGTAGATGGTTGGGCTCCATCCCCAGGGCCTCGGATCCAGTGGGTTTAGGGTGGGGCCCAAGAACTTGGCATTTCCAACAAGTATCCTGGTGATGTGGTGATGCTTGCCTGTCTTGGGGCCACACTTGAGAATCACTTAGGATTTTGGAGAGAATCAGAGGCCTCTCAGGTACCTGATTTGAATAATGGTTTTCGTATAGTTCCCCTATCTCCTTGTGTTCTTTCTGGTCTAATTCCAGGGACAGAACGTTGGTAAAAATGCCAGACTGTGCAGTTGTAATGGAAGTGAGGAGTTGACTTGGCCTCCCAACCTTTTTTTTTTTTTTTTTTTTTTTTTTTTTTTTTTTTTTTTAACCTCTTCGGAGAGAATCCATTTTCCTTTCTCTCCTTGAAGAAAGCCCAGGAAATGCAAGATAAATGGTAGTAGAAAGAAAAGCTCAACCAAAGGAAAAGGAAAGAGCCGTTCTCTGTGCAAAACTACCCCCACAAACAAAACACACATAGTTTATAAAGCTGGAATGCAGAAGACTGTGGATTTCAGCCTCAAGCATCAAGCAACTATGCGTGGTGACGAGTTAGGGACATAGGTATGGAATCTCTTGGAAGTAAGCAAAGGCACGCATCCCCTCCAAAAGGCTTCTGTGTTTCCAGTGCAGGTTTTGAGAAACTATTTGAAAGCAGCTTTCAGCCTCTGATTTGCCTGCCATTATGCTTTCCCATTATGAGAAGATAATGGCTTTGTCACCCTATTGCATTTTGATAAGATTGTTAATGTTCTTCTGGCTTTGAAAGAGGCACCATATTTTCTTTGCTACTCCTTGTTTGGTTGGAGGCACTTTTTTTGGTTAAGTTTATTTATTTATTTATTTTTGACAGAGAGAGAGAGAGAGAGAGAGAGAGAGAGAGAGAGAAGGAAGGAGGGAAGGAGGCGGGGAAGAGCACGGGGCGGGGGTGGAGAGAGAGAGAGAGACAGACAGAATATGAATGAATGAATGAATGAATGAATGAATGAATGAATATCCCAAGCAAGCAGAGCCCGATGTGGGGCCTGAACTCACCAACTGCGAGAGCATGACCGGAACCAAAACCAAGAGTCAGATGCTTAACCAACTGAGCCACCCAGGCACCCCTGGAGGCAATTTCTTAATTGATGTCCTTATATTTTGCTTCGGTATTTATTACATTTCCTGCTTATACACTTGATGTCATGAAGTGTTTATTTTTATACCAACCATAGATTCTTGAAGAATTATTGATACAGATGCACCATTAGCTCTTCTCTGACCTGCCTAAGAAAAGCTTCAGGAGAAACTAATTTGCCATGTGTACTTAAGAGATTACTATCTTTAACACTCAGGCCAAAAATGTAAATCCAAAATAACCAGGAATTCTTATTTATTTTAGTTTTCCTTGTTGTCCTATAAATATACCAGATCTGTGGTTGAGTCTGTTAGACATTTCTCTCTCTCTCCTCCCCACTTCCCGCCAAGAATCTCATGATGTTACCATATGAATCCTTTAAGAAACCAAGGTCAGCTTGGATACCCCAATTTGTACTAATGTCCCAGGGAACACCTGTGAACTTAGTTGCGGAAAATCTCAGTGCTAGCTTTTAGGGTGTTTCATATGTTTCTTGTCCGCTAGCATTTCCTGGGTAGCGTTCTTACATGTCATGTAGATGTAAGGAGAAAAAGAAAAAAAAATGTGTCCAAGTAAAACAACATGTTTTGAAAATACCTGTACACTGGTGTTAAGTTTCAATTCAGAGGCATCATTGGCTTTGGTTTAGAGTCTTATGGTAAGAAAGTTCTGGCAGATCTCATGTTTTAGACTTCATGTACCCATTTTTATCTGGTTCTTTCTTTACCTTGTGACTGAATGAGAGAAATGTCTGGCTGTGTGTGTGTGTTTTTTGTTTTTTTTTTTAATTTTTTTTTTCAACGTTTATTTATTTTTGGGACAGAGAGAGACAGAGCATGAACGGGGGAGGGGCAGAGAGAGAGGGAGACACAGAATCGGAAACAGGCTCCAGGCTCCGAGCCATCAGCCCAGAGCCCGACGCGCGGCTCGAACTCACGGACCGCGAGATTGTGACCTGGCTGAAGGTGGACGCTTAACCGACTGCGCCACCCAGGCGCCCCTGTGTGTGTGTTTTATATTGACTTCCGAGAAGTTCTTGGTCTAAAATATTCTTTTTTTCCCCCTGAGACTTTGTGACTTGTGACCTAGGTTTCCTTTCATTGACAAACGACCAGCAATGCCACATCCCCTCGAAAGAAATCCACCTATGTGAGCATGTTTTCCAGTTTAATTCTCTGATTTTTTTTTTCCAGTCTTCAAATGGACCCGAAGAGCCCTCCGTTATTCAGTTACTGAAAACCCTTTCTTTCTTTTTCTTCTTCTTTTTTTTTTTGTTTGGTTTTTAGAATTCTTCAAAGAACTGCTGGAAAATGCAGAGAAATCCCTCAATGACATGTTCGTGAAGACATATGGCCGCTTATACATGCAGAATTCCGAGCTATTTAAAGATCTCTTCGGAGAGCTGAAGCGCTACTATGTGGCAGGAAGCGTCAACCTGGAAGAGATGCTAAGTGACTTCTGGGCTCGCCTTCTGGAGCGGATGTTCCGCCTGGTGAACTCCCAGTACCACTTTACAGACGAGTACCTGGAATGTGTGAGCAAGTACACCGAGCAGCTGAAGCCCTTTGGAGATGTCCCTCGGAAGCTGAAGCTGCAGGTCACCCGTGCGTTTGTAGCAGCCCGTACTTTTGCTCAGGGCTTGGCAGTTGCGAGGGATGTAGTGAGCAAAGTGTCCGTGGTAAGCACTGGCTGCATCCTGTGTTTTTTTGTGTGTGTTGTTTCATTCTTTCTTTCTTTCTATCTATCTATCTATCTATCTATCTATCTATCTATCTATCTATCTAATGTTTATTTGTTTTGAGAGAGAGAGCGTGGACAGAGGAGGGGCATAGAGAGAGAGAGAGAGAGAGAGAGAGAGAGAGAGAGAGAGAATCCCAAGTAGGCTGCACGCGGTCAGCTCAGCGCCCCGTGTGGGGCTCGATCTCACGAACTTGAGATCATGACCTAAGCCGAAATCGAGAGTCTGATGCTTAACCGGCTGAGCCACCTGGGCACCCCTGTGTTGTTGCATTTTAAGAGGAAGTTTGGGAGGTAGACAAATACGTGGGCTCGAGAACGGTTTTCTTCTGTTCTGCTCTCTTCTCTCTCTTGCCTTTTTCCCTCGCACACATTGGCCCGATACACGTACGCCGTATAGTTAGAGACCATGCTGTGAGGAACATCGTCATTCTTTTCAGTGGTTTCCTTGGTAGCTGTTCTTAGAAGCAGATTGTATGTTCACTTTGGAACCTTCATTTTCAAACTGAGTTTAATATCGCCATACTCTTTTTGCCTCCTATTCTACTTCCCTTCCAGAGGAAGAAGCAGACAGGTTCCATATTTAGTTGCTTTGAGTGACTGGGTTTGGGCCTGCCGGTCGCAGTCTGGAACAGTATTTAACATCCATTCCTGCGTGTTTCCTTGTTCTATGTTTTAAGGTGTACTCCATGCTCTTGAAGGCAGAGCTTTCTATGACAGTCAGTGTGGGCCACCTGCTCTTGACTTATGGCTTTGTTTATAGGAGTACCAATAGACAGAATGAATATATTACAGTTTCCTCATTTGTAAATTGAAGGAATTGGACTGAGTTCTTTGAAGCCCCTTAAGAAGGTGTCTCAGGGGCCTCCTTGAGGAGAGGAAGAGAGACACGGGGACTTCACCTCCTGGCTGCACCGGAGAAGCTTTGCTTTCCCCTTTGCCAAGTCGAGTATTGAGTCAGATTCTGAGGGGGAAATGGTTCTATGGCTCCTTTACTCCCCCTTCCCCAGAAAAAAAGACGAAATTTGAAGGCCTTTCCACCTCTACCCTTCCATGACTTAATACCAGTGAAGGAACAGAATAACCTGGGGCACATTACCTTCTGGAGGACTGATCTTGGTGCCATTACATTCCGGCCTCCAAAGGAAAAAACTAAATTGTAGTCCATTTGCTAAAAAAAATTGCAGTCGTAAGGTCAGCAGCTTTTACTTAGGCCATTTGGTTGTTTGGGGGACTGAAGGAGAGGTCAAAATAAAAACTGAACAGCAACACAACTGGAATATCAATCTGATTGTCTACCAGTTCATCTAGAGTTCAAGTGACCATTCAATTTATCGTCCAAACCAGGATGCTTATCGTCGAAACCGAGAGGTGCTTATTCACAGCCCTACCCAGACCACATGTGCCACTAATTTGAAATAAGCAATAGGATTGTCCCTAGTGGACCGGGATTCATGGTTACCCTAGTTAGAGACGAAACTTGCGTTAACCCAGCAAAGAGAAGATTCTGATGAATTGTGTGCCGTAAAAGATTAGATGCTTATGGGATATTTCGTACTAGGATTGGGTGATACGAGGATTCGTTGATTGGTTGCATTCGTTATTTCAGTTTTGTTTGTTCTCTCTCATCTCCAGGCCATGAATTTGCAGGAAACAATTCTTTCCAGCATGTTTCTGTTCACTCCTTTTTCTCCTGATATTTTCCTTACAAATTGCAACAATTTGTTGAGGCATAGGAGGGTGGATGTGTGCACGTGGGGGGATGGTGGTTATAATTAAAGGAATAATCTGATTGCTGAACTTCTGCCAACCCCAGCATCCATTATGAATCCTGTAGGTGCTCGTGTCAGAGTCCCGAAACAAGGCACGGTGACTCCAGATCAAAGTCATTTACATTGTAGCTCACCTCACACATCTGCCCTTCCTCAGCAAGTCCTTGGCTTCATCCTGATCTGGATAGGCAGACAGGCGCTGCTATGTGACTTGAATGAGTGTGTGTGCCTGCTTGTGTACGTGTGTGCATGTGTGCAGACTCGCGCTGAAGAGAAAGACAAGGAGAAAGCCCTTTTTGTAAGCGTCTGAAAAGTGGTTGCTTTTAAATTAATCATCCCCCTTTCTTTTTTTTTTTTATTTTTTTTATTTTTAAAAAAAAATTTTTTTTTCAACGTTTATATAATTTTTGGGACAGAGAGAGACAGAGCATGAATGGGGGAGGGGCAGAGAGAGAGGGAGACACAGAATCGGAAACAGGCTCCAGGCTCTGAGCCATCAGCCCAGAGCCTGACGCGGGGCTCGAACTCACAGACCGCGAGATCGTGACCTGGCTGAAGTCGGACACTTAACCGACTGCGCCACCCAGGCACCCCTAATCATCCCCCTTTCGATTCTTGGGTAAAGGGACAGGCCAGCACAAGTCTGGTTAGCCTACCTTTGCTAAGTTGGAGACCCCCTAGAGAACTGAGATTCCAGAACCTCCCACTTGGGGTAGAAGGCTGTAGATAAAACAAGAAGTGATTTCGAGACCCTTCGTCACCGATGAGAAGGTTGAGGGCCAGAAGGTTTGCCATTGTCCACACCAGCCCACTTCCCAGGGTAGGGACAAGGAAGCAGTTGTGGTTTCCCGGTGTCACATTCTTCTTGACCTGCTTCTCAGAATTCATGGTGGGAAATCAGCAAGATCGGCTTTTGTATGTAAGATCCAAACGCCCTTAGCCTATGCCGTAAGGAGCATGTGACTCAAAGTAAGAGTCACGATCCATTTCTGATGTTTCTTTTGGTATGAATTTTTTTTTTAAGCAAGAGATTTCCTGTGTACCTTAGTACTGTTACGTTGTTGGAGAACGTTCCTTTCTAAATATAACCCTAAATTTGTTTCAGAGTTAATGTGTATTCTACGGTCACTGTATTCTCGTATCTGCCTAAGAGATATTTGCGTAGTTTTGTGAGAATACAGTGAACACAAGCTGTAGGGCTTGATTTACTTTGAGTAAACATCACTTGCCACTTGTTTAGTTGAAAATACTCTTTCATGTCTGCTTTAAAGTTTGTATTTGCAATTGGAAACTTTTTTTAAGATCTTTTTTTTAATGTTTGTTTATTTTTGAGAGAGCGAGAGAGAGCGACAGAGCACAAGTGGGGGAAGGGCACAGAAGGAGGGAGACACAGAACCTGAAGCAGGCTCCAGGCTCGGAGCTGTCAGCACAGAGCCCGATGCGGGGCTCGAACCCACGAACCACGACATCATGACCTGAGCTGAAGTCGGATGCTTAACCGACTAAGCCACCCGGGAGCCCCGTAAACTTTTTAAATAATGTTGTGCTTCCCTGCTGAGCTTCTTGTAGACTAAGGACTAACTTAAAAGCAAACCCTTCAGCTACGTTGGGTTATGTTATTTAAATTACACAGTAATAAGACACTCGGGCATCAAATCAGTTTCTAAAGGAGTTAAAACACAACATGTGTAAAAAAAATCTCTCATCTCTGTAATGTTGTTGCTTAGAAGCCTGCAAGGAATACTTAGGTATTTGAGAAAATATTTATTACACTAATTTCTAGAGTATGACTATGAAATAGAAAATTGTAATATGCAGTGGTATAGGGAAGACAGTAAATGATCTATCAAAACCTTACTCCAAATTGAACATGCTGGAAAAAAAAAAAAAAACCTATATTTGGTTAATAAGCTTCTTGACCGGTTTGGGGACCCAAGCACTGGTTTTTCATATGGGCTCCCACCACTGCCAGTTGCTAGAGCAACCCAAGAAATAGACATTCCTTCTTTTGGTGTCTGATAGAATTAATTATTCTTGGGTGTGGAAAAGAAAGGCCTCTCAGAGAGGAGGATAGATTTCCTAATTCCGGACCGCCACCTTACCCACCCGCTCTACAAAGGTGTCTTTCAAAGTCAAATATGGAAAAGCACTGTGGTCTTGGGGACTAGTTACTGTATACCTAACTCAAACATGTTCCCACTTTTTCTGTGTGTAAGCGGATGCCCTGTTTTTCCAGCTAACTTTTGCAACACAAGAGTTGTAGTTACACGTGTAGCAATGATTTGATGATCACTGAAACCTTTTAAAGGCCATTAGCACCAGCAGGCTTAACTGACTCCAAGAGAAAGTCACTTCTTAGTTGAAGGACACTTGCCTTGCAGCTCACTCCACTGAGATTTACAGTCCCAGCTTCAGAAGAGTCCCCTTAATTAGGAACAAATGGTTCAAGAGTACTCTGGCATTACACATCTCCGTATTCCTTAGTCCGTCGTACTTGTCATGGTTCGTGATGCATTTCGTATTTACCTGCCTAACAGCAGTTTTGCCTGGAAGGGGGAAGTCTGTTGTGGTCTTTCAAGAACGCACAAGTGGTTGCATGCACCATGCAAATTAATAGCTCCTATGCCAAAGACAGTTGCGTTCTCATGGTTTCAATTAACACTGACATAATGGGACTGTGTCTACACCCCCACCCCAACTACAGGGGCTATAATTAGGAATCAGTGCTTTACATTGTGATGTCTAAATGATTGTCCTGCCTTGAAAACAATTTCCGTTGCTCCCCCTTCAGTTTTGTGTGTCCACAGTGCCCCAGCACATACAGGAGTGCTGCCCAAATTATTCTGCCATTTCCCGAATCACGATAAATGTACATTTTATAAATCTATACAGAAAGCTTTTTTAAAATTTTTTTTTTTTTTAACGTTTATTTATTTTTGAGACAGAGAGAGACAGAGCATGAACGGGGGAGGGACAGAGAGAGAGGGAGACACAGAATCGGAAGCAGGCTCCAGGCTCTGAGCCATCAGCCCAGAGCCTGACGCGGGGCTCGAACTCACGGACTGCGAGATCGTGACCTGGCTGAAGTCGGACGCTTAACCGACTGCGCCACCCAGGCGCCCCCAGAAAGCTTTTTTTAAAAGAAGTTTATCTATTTTGAAAGCGCACA